GGGTGTGCACACCCCTCTGCAGTCCGGCCCCTGGCCTCACTTCTGGTCTTCCTCGGCTCACATCCCTGCACATTCAGCCATCAAGCACCACGCTGAGGAACACGCGCATTCGTTTTTTCCGCCTGATGCCAAGAGTGAGCCGCGTACACCCGTGCACCCCTTCCCGCTCCGCTGCGGACCCCCCAGGTGCGGGGCAGCGAACGACGGACCGCCTGATCCCGGGCCGAGCTGCCGCCCCAGAAGTGGGCCATCGCGCCTCACCAGGCCCCACAGAGGCGGCAGCCTCCGGGATTCCACCCCGCAACCACACCATGTCGCCAGGTGAAGCGAGGAGGAGCCAAGCCTGGCACGCCCGGTGCGCTGCTCCCAGGTGCCCCCCACGCCATTCCTCAGGAAGCTGCCGTAGGACGCGCACCAAGCAAAACACGGGAGCGAACCGAAGCAAAGGCGGAGCAAGCGGGTTCCAGGGAAATCCCGGCCTGCGAGGAAGAAGCCACCGGAGTCTTCGGATGAGAGACCACGGCAGTCCTGGGAGGCCCAGCCTGCCTCAACAGACCAGGGCGACCCGCTGGGCCCCAGACTCCTAGAAACACCACCGTGCTTTGGAGCAGCGTCCACGTGAGAAGAGTCGCAGGGCACACATCAGTAATGGGTTCAGGAACATACTAAGCCCAACAACAAACAAGAAAGGCCAATGATTAACTCCACGAAAAACAGCATGAGCGCTTGGGTAGAAACCAGTAGGCCACAGCGCCATGCCCGGCATGGCCTCGCCACGGCCAGGAGAGTCAGATGTGACCACGGATGGGGGCGTGAGTCTGTGGGAAGCCCCAGGAAGGCCCAGTGCGCGGTGGGCGAGCCGGGAGGGCGGAAAGGCAAACAGGCCAATCTTTCCCCAGGGTGCGTTCAGCGGATATAGACAAAACATGGAAAGTGCTCGATTTGTCAAGATTTAAATCACGTCCTGGGAATAAGCGAGACCCACAGGCCCCCCAGCGAGGCAGAGGCGGCATGGCGGGCGTGAGGTGGGTGGGCCCTGTGAGTGCTGCCCGCCCACCTTGCAGAAATGCTCCATGCTTCAACAACACGCAGGGTGTCGCTCGGGAGCGAGCGAGGGACAAGACCCGGAAGCGCCCGACGACCGCCGCGGCGAGGCGGGCGCTGGGCCGCAGAATGGCGGATCACACTGGGGTGATCTGCCATTCAAGGTCAGCTGAAGGTCGGCGCTGATCTTTCCAGGCTGTGTCTCTACCGCCCCTGCCTGGCTTACTTCACCCTCCCTCTCCCGGACATCCACGCCCCGAACTCTCCCTCCGTGGGGCCATGTGAGTGCAGCCTCCCCGCCCCACCACCTTGTTCTCGGGGCGTGGCCTCACGGCCATTCTGTCCCGTGACCACTCCCAGGGAAACATCCTGCTTCTTCCGTGCACCTCCCATGGCCTTCTGTGCACCGTGCGGGCCTCACACCGGGCTCGGAGTCTCCACAGCGCCCTGTCAGCTTGGACAAAGGGAGCCGGGGCCAGGTCCTGCCCCGCCACCCCGCCACCCTGCCACCCCACCACCCCACGCCCCACGCCCCTCGCCCACGGGGTAACTCTCACGCCCGGTGTCTGGTCGCACGGAAGACGCAGTTCCCTGCATGAGCTCCCCGGGAAAGGAGAACCCCAGCATCACAGTCTCCCTCACACCCCAGCTTCCCTCAGTCGCCACCAGGGTCCAGAGACCCCAAACTTCTCCCAGGGACACGTGGTCACCCCGTGGCCTTTCCTCACAGCCACGCCGGCCCGTGTGGCCCCAGGCAGGGCTCACCTGGCCGCCCAGGCCCCTCCGGCCCCAGCGCGACCCCCACAAACAGCAGCAGCGCTGGGCCCCCCAAAAGACCCCCCTGCAGAAACCGTCCTCTTCCAGGGGCTCCCCCACCCAGGACACACGCCCGAGCCCGCCGCTGGCACCCCCAGGCCCTCCCTGCCCGACACAGGCCGCCCCCTCCGACACAGAGGAGGCCGTGAGGGGCGGACGCGCCAGTGGCTGGGAGGGCTCTCAGCGGCAACCCCCGAGCCCCTCTGTCCCCAACGCTCCCAGCGAGGCCACGGCAGAGGCTCCGTCCTACCTGGTCGGCGGGGACTGCGCAGCCGAGGTGGGTCCAGTCCCAGGCGCCTGGCTGCCTTATCGCGGCCTGGCCGGCGGAATGCGGTGGAAACCTTTGCCTGGTACAGGCGGCTGCCGCTCCGCAGCCCAGGAATTCTGCGTTGAATAATTTTTAACTTCTGCTCTCAGAGAGCAGTGGGTCTGTGCACAGTGTTCGTCCGCACAGGAATGCCGGGGGCTTCTTGCTTTAAAGTAAACACCGCGGTCACGGCCAGGGAAGCAACTGGGGAACGGAGAGAAACGGGCCCGCAGGACGCAGGACTGGAGGGCGGTCGGGGGACATGGCCCAGTCCGGTCGAGCTTGGGCGGCCGAGCCCCCAGGCCGGGTGTGACCCCAGGGACGGACGCTCCCCGGGGGGATGGGGGAGCCGTGGGCATCTCGTGGGGCTCCAACTCCAGCCCCAGGGCGGGGCTTGTGCTTTCTGGCAGGTGGACGCTGCCCCCCCACCCTTCCCTGGACGGGGAGCCGGCTCCGTGACCGCCCGCCCCAGCCGCAGCCGTGACCCCACACCCGGGACTCCTTCCCCACAGCTTCAAGTTCCAGAAACTGCTGCAGCCGGGCACGGTGGCTCGCGCCTGTCATCCCAGCACTCTGGGAGGCCGAGGTGGGAGGATCGCTCAAGGTCAGGAGTTCGAGACCAGCCTGAGCAAGAGCGAGACCCCGTCTCTACTAAAAATAGAAAGAAATTAATTGGCCAACTAAAAATGTACATGCAAAAAATTAGCAGGACATGGTGGCGCATGCCTGTAGTCCCAGCTACTCTGGAGGCTGAGGCAGGAGGATCGCTTGAGCCCAGGAGTTTGAGGTTGCTGTGAGCTAGGCTGACGCCACGGCACTCACTCTAGCCTGGGCAACAGAGTGAGACTGTGTCTCAAAAAAAAAACAAAAAAAAAAACAAGCTACTGGAACTGGGCGCTGTCCCCACAACCTGTGCCCAGCCATGCGCAGTCTGCCCTCGGCCCAGCTCGGGGCCAAACTGGGGCTTGTCTGTGCTGGTCCGAGGCCAGGCCTGTGACCCAACTGCAAGCTGCTCCCCTCCCTCCAGTGGGGCCTCTGGGCCACGAGTCCTGGGCCCCAGAGAGGAGCGTAGCAGTGACAACCCCAGGGCCCTGGGCAGGACGTGACAGAGGCTGCTCGGGACACCCGTGGGCCCCATGGCCACCTTTCCTCCAGTCACAATGGGGAGGTGACATCCTGGCCCGCCCTGCCCCAAGTGACCGTCACACACAGCGCGTCGGGAAACTCAAGGCCCAAACCAGACTGTCCCTTTGAAAGGACCTGTGTTTCGCCAGCTCTGGGACAGTGAGCCGCTGACCAGGGGGGGGTGTGTGTCCGTCCACCAAGGTCACCAGAGCCACCTGACACCACCGGGGAGATGGGGTGGTGGCCGTGGTGGACTCAACCGGCCGCATGTCACCCCTGCTGGGAGGATAAGGGGCTGGGCGGCTCACGGCGGCCCCTGCTCAGTCCTGCTGTCCCTTGGGGACAGCCCTGTGTGCCGGAGGGCCGACAGCCGGCTCGGAGGGCCTCCACGCTCGCGCGCACTGTGGTCTCTCCTCTTTCCTGGCGGGCCGGGCACACCCGGGCTCCGCTCAGAGGCAGAAGGCCGCATTTTGGACAGCTCGGCTGGGCTCAGCCGTGTAGCGACACCATGGGAACAGACCGCCGTGCACTCCACGTGGGCACCCGGGGCCGGTGGGCAGCGTTCTGCCCAGGGCCAGGCCACGGGCAGAAGGGCCCCAGCGATGAGCAGTGCCAGACCCGACACAGACGTGCCGCACCTGCCACCAGCCCCTGTCACACAGGCACCTGCTCCTCCCTGGCCACTCTGATGGGACCGCAGCTCCTCCTCGCCTTTGTTTTATTTTATTTTATTTTTTTGAGATCGAGTCTCACTCTGTTGCCCGGGCTAGAGTGCCGTGGCGTCAGCCTAGCTCACACCAACCTCAAACTCCTGGGCTCAGGCATCCTCCTGCCTCCGCCTCCCGAGTAGCTGGGACTATAGGACATGCACCACCATGCTCCCCGCTAATATATATATATAATTACTTATTATTTATTGTCCACTATTTCTTTCTATTTTTTTTTAATAGAGACATTGGTCTCGCTCTTGCTAGGCTGGTCCTGAACTCCTGACCTACAACGATCCTCCCCGCCTCGCTCCCGGTGCTGGGATTATAGGTGGTGAGCCAACCATCCGCTCCCAGCAGATGCTCTATTTTTGACACACTGTTGCATTTGATCGGTTGAGGGGAGACCCTGAGCAAAACCCACCTGCCTCTGCCCTGCAGTTTGGCTCGGCCGGCGGACCCCTCCCCGAAGTCGGGGGACTTGGGGGCCCCCTGGGGGCGTCCTTATCGCGACCTCGTGGCGTGGCACTTTGTAGAGTGTGGCTTCCAACGGCATTTCAGAATGTTTGCATCATGAAACAGCAACTCCAAGTATTGAGGAAAGAAAAAGTTTGCGTCATTCCCAGGAAGGAGAATTCAGAGGACAGAGATGGCATTTCAGAAAACAGCTGTCACACACAGGGGAAAAG